TACAAATATAATAATAATAATAATAATAATAATAATAATAATAATAATAATAATAATAATAATATCACACCTGCTGAGCTTCAACGAGCAGCCAGTTTTGCTGCAGGGTGATATGGCAGCTGGTACTTTTCAGCTGACACTATATATGCAATTCCTGGAGCGACAACAGCTTGTCTTCAGCATAAATGTAGAGGAGGTGTAGGCGGCTCATCACCAACGCCATTCAAATACCCAGATACACTGAACGGGTTTGGTCAACACCGCTCTACCCGCGTGCCCCCCGCACGCGCCATGCCCTGTGTCTGCGCGCTCTTTGAAAGCGAGGCTGAACTGGCAACGTCACGACGCGTCGGTTGAAGACTTCATCGTCGGTTAAACCGAAAACGTGAGAACAACAACAACAACAACAACGTTGCTTTTATTTAATAACGCGGACATAAAAACACCACTAACCAGAGCCATCGACGTGTCACGTCCAACGGGGGTCGGTTGAGGCTCAGAAGAGTGACGGAAACGAATCGTTTACTAACTTGAGTTTAACCGTCCCTCCCAACCGGTGAGTCATCGTCGTTTATAATTACGACTTACAATGCAGACAACATGTAGTCGGAGGTGCTCTATAGTAGTTTACAATAAATGAGTTTTTCACGGAGAACCTAAAACCAGCTAAATTACTGGTACAAACCGCCCAGAGAGAGGTGGGGGTCGTGTCGCGGGCGTCAAAGTCCCCCAGAGACGGGGATTCATATTTTTCCCGGTTGGTGCGAAGGGGTATTTTGGGAGTCTACCAAACGCGGGTGAGTGGGAAGTGTGTAACTCAGAAGCGATAACAGTTCTGCACAGTTCGGGTCATTTGAGTTGGGGAGGAGCTTGACTTTCACACGAGTGCCGCTCGCCGCCCCGAGCCGCTGTGAGGCGGTGTCGCCGCTAGGTGTCGCCCGATATCCGTGAAGCCACAGAGCTGGTTCAGGTGCCCAGCGGAGCGCTTAGAAAAACTGGTCCTTTCGGTAATTATATTTGATGTTTTTATTTACTAGAAGTGAAGGCTAGATTTCGTTTTTGTTGCTCGAGTTTCCTCTCCCTCCTTCGTCAAATGGCAACTAAGCATTTTGACACGCTGTTGTCTTTCAATTTGTTTTGCTGTAGCGCCATATGTGTCATTATGCTACAATGGAATTAACCTAATAGTCTTTTCCTTAGCTACTGAAACACGTCCTTTATGTGTGCTGATTGTGTTCTCGTAAGTGAAAACAGCTTTCGCACATTAGGTCGTGGTGTCTGACATCCTCCGTGAGTGCACACACGTGAGAGTGCGCACTATAGGCAGCGCGGAATGACATTTTCTTGGTGAACTGTGACTTCGCTGTGTCCTTCTTGAACGTGTCGTAATTCAACTCGGGTGTAAGCGGCACACGGTGTTTTTTTTTAAACGTCTGGATCCTCGTAGCTTACAAAGGTCTTATTCAGACACGTTTTTTTTTCCGAGATGACTTTGATGTTGGGGGGTGAAAAAAAACAAGAAAAAAAATAAAAAAGAAACTCCCACGGTTGTGAGTTAAATGTATTAAATGACAATAGCACAATTAAATCAAAGACCCCATTCAGGCTGCGTGTCAACAGCAGTGGACTCCAGTGCATTTTGGGCAATAAAGTTGAAAATGTCTGTCCGTTTCCTCAAAGGGAGCCGCCATCGTGTCTTTTCCAGGGCGCTTTGATTTAGCCTAAATGATTCAGAAACGGGAACCATGGTTCGATTTGATTTGGGGGATTAAAGGGGGGTCCCCTCTCCCTGTTCTGCTGTTCATGAAGTCGGGAGAGGGGACAATAGCCGGCTCGGAAGGAGCATTCCAGCCGGGGTATCAATCTGCCATCGGGAGGCACGATAAAAAGAGGGGAGCTTGTAGAAATGTGCTGCAGTTGGCTCTTCTTTAGATCAGCGTGCGCTCTCCTGCTGGGCCCCGTCCAGCTCTGCTCCCCGCCTCACAATGCACAGAGCTGCTTCCTCCTTCTCCAGATGCCAAACATGTGCTCCCTTCGCTCCGACGTCCTGGGACTGGTGCGGAACCATATGGCCCCGGTGAGGGGAACAAGCCCTGACTGCCCCTCCTTCATGGGCCGCTTGTCTGGGAGCCTGTCCATACCCCCTGCTGCCACCAGAGGGCGTAAATCACTGCATCACTGTAGGATCTGTGCTGAGGCTTTATAAAATACACAGACGCACCTGAAGAAAGTAGATACAGACGAAAAAGGCTCCACAGCCTGTTCCTAAAATACCTAAAATCAGGAAGGCAACCAGGCAGGGTGAGGTAGGGCAATAGTAGTGTGGAGCTATTGGGTTCAACTGCCCCCAAGTGTCCAGAAAAGCGCTATATAAGTGTAAGTAATTATTATTATTATAACTCTTTCGGTCCATCTAGCCCATTTGCTCGTTAGTAGCTAATTGACCCCAAGACCTTATCCAGCTGCTTATTGAAATAAATCAAGTTATTGACTTCAACAGCATGGCTGGGCAGCTTGTTCCACACTCCCACAACCCTTTGGGTAAAGACGTGTCTCCGGATCTCAGTCTTTAATGTACGTCCATGTATTTTCCACTGGTGTGTATTTCACTGTAAGAATGTGGAGTGACTACAATACAGCGTACTGAGCGTTTTATAGGAGGAAGTAGCCAGGTTCACGAGTACCTGCTGACCTTTCAGAAGCTTGTTTATCATTTAACTCATTAACTTACATGAAACCAGTGATGGCTTTGGGGCCAACAATCATACATTCCTGGGATGTCAGCGTTTCACTCTTGCTGAGGTTTTAGAAGTGAATCATTTGCCACATTTTTGCCTTTTCTCTTTTAAGGGAAAATGTTTTTTAAGTCATACTACTGCCGACACAGAGCTTTTATCTTTGACGACATCCGGATCGGCCGCAGTTAAGAGTAAATCTTCTCAGACCGGAGATGGGTCACCAGGTTTAATTTTGCCCTGTTCACTCAGCATTAACAGGTGCCCCCCCCGGGTGACTCTGTCACCGCACAAGGGGAGGGTCGGGCCTGTGCAGCCCTGACCTGTGGTCACATGATCATGTTAACAGTTTCCAGGTCAGTGGAAGGTAATGTGTGGAACAAAGAGCAGCATGTCAGAGGCTGGCCCAGAGGGAGTGTGTTAACACTTCATCAGCCTGGCCTGGGCCCGGCTGTGCTGGCTAGTTAGGGATATGAGGAGGAGGGGGAGGGCGAACAACTGTGGGTAATTAAAGAAATTCAAGATTCACTTAGCATGATCAGGGGATGTGACCCTCACTGATGTCTCATTGCAGTGAGGATGTAAATGACCTTTTTAAGGATTTAGGGTTGCCCGTTCCAGTGTCTTTCTGTCTTTTTGCTACATGGCTGGAAATTCACTTGTGTTGAAGAAGATGCCCGAACCGTAGGGCATCCGAGGAGCCAGTGTTTTTATAAATCAACCCGGTTGCGTGACACGAGTCACCTCCATGTCCCTCCTTCCCCACAAGTCACAGAACGGCCCTCTGTGCGGTTTCCCCTTGCTTGGCCTCGGAGCTGCGGGCGGCGCTGTGCCTGTTCCTCGTCCTGGAGCCTGGCGGAGCACCTGACGGTGAAGCCGATGGGCCGTCCGATCGCCGCCGTTGCGCAGTCGCCTCTCGCTGCCGAGCCGAGCGGCCTTTCAGAGCTCCCTTTGGGCCACACACACCGCCGCGGCCTGCATTGACAGACCTCCGTTAAGGCAATGAATGGCTTATTTATAAGCCAGAGCCCTGTTTTTTGGCCTACTTTCAACCCCCAGATTCTGACATTAACTAATGTTGACATACTGGCGAATATATTGCCATTCTGATGCTAATGATGGATTTAACCAACTCCTTAAACACACTCTCCGCTTTCTGAGGGCAGCTTCTTAATGGCATCTTGTCAGAGGAGCCCGGAGGCTCTCTTGCCCTTGGCTTGTGTTAGGGCCTGTGAGGCAACATTCTTTGCCCACCCTCTCTTTTCTACTCCGGGCTGAGAGCCGGTCTTTTCAGAGCAGCAGGTTGGAGACAGAGAAAGGAGGTGCCCACCTACAGAACTGCAAAACCGCCGCGGTTCCTTGTCTTTTGTTGTTTTTTTTTTGGGGGGGGGGAGTGTAGCGTTATAATGTATCTGCAATTGAGTGTCTTTGATTCTCCCTGCGCGTAATTCCTCCTCTGTTCCAAGACACCTAAGAGATTATAAACAAGAAGAGGCTATTCGGCTCATCTAGCTCGTTTGGTTGCTATTAGTTAATTGATTGGAGGTTCTTATCCAGCGATTTCTTGAAAGAAATAGCAGTGTCCACCTTTGCCCTCTGGCTGATGCTGTAAAGACCGTGTTCATCCTATTTTGTCTTCCTGTTAGTGTCAGGGAAAACAGTGGGTTTCAAGTCCTGAAACTCTGTTTTGAAATTAAGGTTTTCCCAGTTCGCATGAATATGAAACCTGAAGAAATATTATTTTTTATATATTGTTCTTCAGAAATATTTTGTATTTTTATAATATCACTGCAGATTCCTATTTACATGTCCTCTCAGCTGTATATGCACTATTTAATTTGAAGCAAGAAACATTTGAGAAGATGTCCCTAATGAGTGATTTTGGGACGTCTCCACAACAGAAAGTTTTTTTTTATAAACTAAAGGGCACGTTCTTTTAAATTGTAAAGTGCCTTTGTTTGAGAAATGCTTTAACCCTGTGTAGAGTTTAATTTCTCTGATTGGAGACTAGTGAACAGAATGTGAGTCAGTGGGAAGTCCCAGCAGTGACAGAAAAGCAGGTGTGTTTGTCTGAAAGAGAGAGTTGCTCGGCAGAAACTGATACAGATCGGCGAAGCCCAAGAAGCATGTCGCTTTACTGAGAGAAATGTGATACATGATACACACTGCTTGTGGTGACTGGTGGAGGGGTTGTTGAAACGTTACATACCTGGCAGGGACAAAGAAGACGCAACAGGAGAAAGGAGGGGTTCACTCGAGCCTCTGCTGGTCTGGGGACCCACAACTCAGCCCCATAACTTGCGCAGGGAGTGAGTGAAAAGTCTCTCTCCAGCGCAGAGCCGTGGTGCCTGAGAGCAGGTGAGGTCACCACGATTTCATGGAGTTCACAGGAAATCTGATAAGCATTATTAAGTCGTCCAGAGCTTTTGTTAGGCACTTGCAATCTCATCACTTTTTTTTCAAAACATAATGTCATACTGTCATTAAGAAACTTAATGACAAAAAAAGTCAAAACCCAGAAAGGAAGAACATAAGCTTAATAATGTAGGGGGATAACTGAAAAGGTTTTAAGTGAGGAAAAGGCAGCCCACCACACTGTTACTGGTTTTGTTGTAGAGAAATGTGTAACCTGTCTGAACTTCCTTCCGTGAGAAGCACTGCTGTTAACGAACGCACCCAAACTCAAGTGCAGATCAGTCATATCTTGGCCTCCAGACAGCCCTGACACTTTAAGTAGAAATTTGATCAGATTTTACAAATAACCTCTCTTCAACATGGACTTTAGTTTTAATATATTTTGGGGGGATCTTGTCATGTATAT